GTCTATATAAATGCATACAGGGGTCTATATAAATGAATACCCCTGTAAGTAGGTTAAACCCTAGCAACTGCGATCTTCAGACCATGGTTACTCAGTGGAGGAAAAGTCTTGGAAAGGCTAGGCTATTGGGAACAGTATATTGTGCAGACAGAGGAACGGAGAATAGACGGAAGAAATCTGCCTTGGGAATACACGACCGACCAGGAGAACCAGCCTAGTCCAAGTGCCAGTTTGACAACAGTCAAGCCAGTGAGCAGAGAGAGCAATTCACGCGTGCAGTGTTACTATTCGTTGTCTGGACAGAAAGCAGTTTTTGCGGCAACTGTGATTGGCTGATTCAGGCGTCGAGGCTAGCGTCTGTGAGCCTTCGGGGAAGTTCACTTCGACGAGAATTAGTCGCAACAGCCCCACTGGGATGGCAGTAGAGCTAAGGTATGCTCCACCGAACGCTGCTCTAAAGTCTGATAATGGTGATTGTAAAACAGTCCTGCCTTACTGACTAACTATCTGCCCCGGGGTCCGAGCTGAGGTTCAGGAATGCAACCTTTGCCTGACCCTTGGAAGATTTGTCAGAAGGAAGCAGAATCGCTTGAATTTCCGAGACTATCCAGCCACACAAGCACTGATACAATATAGATACAGTAGAGTTGGAAATGCTAGGTCATGGCTCGCGCGGAAGTGCGGTGTACGATGCCGACATTTAATGTCACTGGGAGCCTGGATGGACATGTTGTTCCCACACCCTCTCCGCAACCGCATTCACAAGATATCAGCATTCCGCGCCTTTGCCAAGCATTATTTGAGTGGATCTTAGTGTCGTTGCGGCAGATTGAACTTGCTAGTCGGTGTAGAGCATTGAGGAGAAGGAGCAGATGTGATCGTTGGAACAAGAATTTGATTTGCCTAACGTCCTGAAATCTGTGACGCATGCAGCATCAGAGGCAATAACATAAACGGGTAGTTCATACACAAGGAATTGCAGTATTTATAAGATACACTCACTATAGTACTGCACACTTGTGACAATTAACGGCTCCCCCTCCCCCCATGGAGGATATTTGTCCGGTCATGCGCTACTGGCTTGATGGCCGGTGTGCGGAACGCGACCTGTGGAATTTTTATCACCGTGGTGGACTTGGGCGTGATGATTACTACACCATCTGACTGCCTGGTGCTGTCGTTAGACGATGTGTTCGCCTGGGTGCTCCCCCCTCCAAGTGACGAATTGCCTTGGCCAAACTGCGCCTCAGCAACGAATTTGCTAAGGCAGGTCGTTGCACTTGTTTATGGACTGAGACCCGCGAATCATGACTCAAGTAACTCGCGACCCACACGACTGTCACTCCTCGCGATAATTTCGGTCTTATCACATTTAAATGTGTGATCAGTTTTCTTCGAATGAGCCGCGCAAGTAGGGCATTGTGTGTCTACGAGGTGAATTCTCAGTCACACACTCACTTCGTTATCTTTGATATCGCTTTCGGATCTAGGCGTCTGGAACCCCTTTACTTGACCTCAGAGCATAATTCCTCGACACCAGCGCTTTTATCACCGCAGTACCACCAAATAAACTGGACGTGGTTATTCAGCCCTCTGTGCAAAATCATAGGCAGTGTATTACGAATAGTTAACGTTTTTAACGAGCTGCTTTGTAGACCTGTTGAACACTGTCCACCCACTAGGCGCAAATGCAGGTGAAAAGAGTGTGAAATAACCCTCTCCCCCCTCACCAAGTCAAACTGTGTCCTAATTTTGCAGTTTGCATCCTTTTTCGGGTTACTTTTGACCATGAGTCCGTAGACTGCTGCTTAGAGGCGACCTTTTAGCCAGGCAGCAATAAATTGTAATATCGACCATCTCATCCAAAGGGAAAAATTGAAAGTGTAGGAGGCTTTTTGCACGACGACGATGTGAAGCAGGTAGTGTAATTTTCTGATAAATGCTTTTTTCATATTTTTGTCCAAACTAGTGTCCGCATTAATCTCTCCCCCCCTATTACTCGATAGTGAACTACCTAAAACGAACCGCTTTGTCCATTTCTCATGTAGTAGGTCCAATTGACTTTTTGGCGTGTTATTCTCCTCACGATAACCTTATGTTTTTCATCGAAATGATGGAACATTTAGGTCGTGTTTTATATTTTACGTCGTCTGCGCCCCCTTTATTGTAAAAATGTTTTACGCCGATGCAACTCACGGCGGTTGAGAGCTCGAGGCTGTTCAGCGTCGGCATTTTCGCACAGATGGTGCGAAAAAGAGGTCTTCAAGTTGAGGCCAGTGTGTCTAGGGCCGCGGCAAAAAGCTGCATCTTTTAAACAAAAATATGATTCCTGAAAAACCTAGACACAGGTGGAAATAATCTTTTTTTACTTATCTCTTGCTCATACACGCATGCCGTACTAATACATTAACCACTTTTCTGGTAGAAAACCCGCCCAACGACTGTTTTTTCACTTGTTGTTTTAGCTGATCCGAGTTTGGATGCCTGGCATGGTGCACGCAAATGGAGCCTTGCTGCCATGGAAACGGACGTGGGTTTCACAACTCGCAGCCAGTATGAAGAGTGTGGACTAGAATATCTTGTGGAAAACGAAATCAGCAATCGTTTCTATGCCAACACTCGTGATCTTGAGCTGAACCCGAAGTTTACCTCTGGCAGAGGTCGGCAACCCACCATGATGAATTAATAATCCCAGCACAGCGGAAGTGCAGAGGCATAACCTTCATGGGCATCAGATTTTGCAGTTATTTGTAAATAGATTTGTTTCAATGGAAAGGCATCCTTTGGGAAATAGGTAGTTTATTGCGTAAATTTTCGACACTGGATCCCCAGGTCAAAAATTTACGCAATAAACTACCTATATCCTTTGACTTTCCATGAAATTACATTTCTTGGGATGCCTGCCTTTCGGTTTATACGAAATAGATTTGTATTTTTATTAATTAAACTGTCCATATTTTTTTTGGAATCCCTGACTGCAGACGTCCGAATAGCCTCCGTCGTCAAGAACTGTATTATCGATGTTGGCATCTGTTTTACAATGTGTGCGCCGCCCGTACTAACTGACGGGTTACAACCATGGATTTCGATGAATTTCACTAAGTGCACCAACCGGTTGGTACAGATGACAAGTCCCAGGGGGGGTATATTATAGTAATAGCGGACGTAGTTGGCGCCAACCGCACTCTTCACCTTCGCT